TGTATTACCTAATGATATGTAACGACAACAAAACATGAACAAGAAAACAAGAAAATGAGGAAAATCGCAGACTACTCAGTGCAACAGATAAGACTAGAAATTGATTACCTGAACCTTGAGAACAAAAGCTTGAGTTTTCTTTTACTTTTAAACCAATCGATATCGATAGTTGAGCCGATCGATGGTCGTACACATGCAATAATACATATATATACACACACATATTGTATATTTAAAGAAAAAAAAGCTATTCCTTGCCAGTAGAGTCCGGAATGTAAGAGAGCCACTTCCATACATATATATTGTATTTTCATTCGAGTCAGGAAATCATCCGGAAAAGTCCACACAACCCAAAATAGTTTCGGTTAAAGTCCTTCCCCCTTAATAATAACTAATATATGTATATCGATCTGTCCTACTTCTTCCCCTCCAACTTCTTTACATGGTTGTGAACAAAAATGGGATTTAAAAATTAGACCAATTCCTCTCCATTTTTTTCGATCTCAGCCAGCAGATTCTGTCGCACACGGGTGCACTGTAAACAATTCCTACGCTTTTTAAAGTCACACTCACAAAAACACACACACAGACGATGACAAAGACGAAGACAAAGCTAATCAATGAATAACGATCATGCGCATATATATATCGATATTTACAACCAAATACCGAATAATAATCGAAACAAATTGAATTGTAGTGCTATATACCAAACGCCATTTTCCAGGCGTACGTCTTAGATACTTTGCTCACTGGGTTCTAATTGTAGCTGGGCCGAAACCAATCTAAAAAAAATATTTAATATTAATATATATATATATGATATATAGCTAATTGTGTGTATTTACATATTAAAGTTTACAAAAACCAAACGATTGTGGAGGAATAGCTATGTCCTGTAGAATTTTTGAAAGCGTTTTCGTATTCAAACCAAAAACACAATTTAAGGCCTAAATATAAATATAAAACTAGAGCAAAATATATATATAAACATAACATATATATATATATATATGTATTTCAAATGATGTCTAAAGGAAGCAACAACAACAACAACAACAATTAAAAGTGTCTGTATTTTTTTTTAAAAACGAAAACAAAAAAAAAAACATTACAATCAGGTACTAAAATCAAAATTTTTGTAAATTATATAAAAGCAAGAGGTGTTTTGTCGAGAAACTAGAACCGAAGATTGGGAATATGATACTATATACGATAATCTCGCGACTCTCACGGGAATGAAAATATACATACTTGCATATATGTATGTATGTACGATGATGTTGATGATATGATGGAAATAATTGATCCTTAATCATTTCTTTAGTGCTCTTAAGAAAACATTTTCAATAGCATACTTAGCAGGGCGGCCCAAGGGTTCAGCTTCCCTCTGAGGTCAATGACCCAAGAATACACTTAAAGAAATACGTGTAGCATATATATATATATACGTACGGCTATATACCAATCTAGTTATTACTCTTTGAAACTAAGTAGATGAGGAATCGAGTGGAGGATCGACGGCGAAGATGAAAAATTGTCCAGACGTTCAACGAAACCAAATGCAATATTTAATTATACAACAAAACTAACATACAAGCATATTAAAAAACATATATATATATATAAATATATTTTACAATTGATTTATATACATACACGTGTATACATTATATAAGTAAATGCCACATCATTTTCGTGTAAAGCCTATTCAATTGTTTGTTGAACATTTTTTGAAACATTTTCTTTACCAAAAAAAATATATATATATATTAAAACGAGAATGAAAACCAAGCTCACACAAAGTTACGCCAAAACAAAAACCCAAGAACAAACAAAAATTTATATACATTTATCGAAGGAAAAAATATATACAAGAAAGAATTAACTTTTAGTAATTAATGTAAGCAAAGACCAAAAATGAAATTAATTTTTGAAAGTGGAAAACTAACAGAAAAATAGCCTTACCAACACACACACTCACTCTTATAGAAACAACAAAAACAAATTTTCAGCTCTAAACTTTTTATATTTTACGTTACGTATTTCCCCTACGTTGTTCTACAATGTTTCAAAATATTTGAAAGTAAACAACTAAAATAACTGAAAAAGTAAAAAGTGAGTACATGAAAATGGAGTATAAAGCAGCAACGAGTAACGAAAATATTTTTACAAATCTTGAAAAACGAGAAAAACAGAATTTTTTCAATGCAAAAAACAACATAAATAACAAACTAAAAAATGCATAACGCTTCCGACAATAAGCTTTGGCCACACTATTATATTAAAAATAAAAAATAAATCGAAAAGGGAACGGAAATGGGAATGGAAACGGAAATGAAGAGCTCGGAATTTTTGTGTTATCGAAAATAAAACGTAACGCCCAAAAAAGAGAAACAAACGTAAGAGAAATATTTGCCCAATTTATATACTTACAGATATATATACGTATATATATATATATATGTACATATATGTATATATATGTGTAAATACCTATGTACTTATGTAGTAGCCTTGTTCTACTCTATATTTTTAAACGGAGTTGTATAGCAAATCAGAATCAGATCAGCAAAGCAAATGTATTTTCATGATACGCATTTGAAGCGAACATATCAAAAACCCCGATAACCGATTAAAGTTTACCGATAACCAATTACCAATTACCGATTTCGAAAATGCGGAGAATACGAAATTATCTAGATTCTAGAAATTACCGATTGAATGCTTTAGCTCTTAAAACATAAGCACGATTAATAATAAATATTTGGAAGCTGGAAGCTGGGGAAATGTGTATTGAAAAATATTCGCAAACAAAAAAATTACTGAGTAAAAAACAAACCTAAAATAATGTTCTTAAGCTGTTTCATCATTTATTATTGAAATATATTTACAAGCGCATTTATAACGCGAAATGTGAAAAGCAAAATATGCAATTAAAGCCACAAGAAATACCATTAAACAAAAAAAAAAAACAAACTGAATCTAAATTAAGCATGAATATTTTTTGCTGTGTCTTAGTCCATGTGTCGTAACGAATTTATTGAACTAAATATTATACATTATTAAAGTAAAAATTAAAAAAAAAAAACTTACAAAACAAAAAAAGACAAAAAAAAAGAAACAAAACAATATATCCTTAAATTTTTGTGTTTAACGTAAAAAAAAACAGACGAACAAAATTTCTACAAAATTAAGCACAAATTTTTTCAAAGGAAAAAGAAACAACCACGACAAAAACGTATAAAAAATACTAAGAATTGCCTTTTACTTGTATTTTATTTTCTACTATAAAATAAAGATTTGAATATTAATAATATACAACACGCTGAATTCATAAAGAAAATTTTGCAAACAAAAATGCGCCTAAAAACATCTGTGACTAATACGAAAAATATGATTAAAAAATCTGCTAAAGAAAATGATATAAAAACTCCAATGAAAACAAAGTTAAAAAATGTGTACAAGAGATTTCTTAATTTTAAAAATAAAAAATAAAAGATGGCAAAAACACACACATTGATATGAAAAACAGACACATGTAAGCGAAAACCTATACATATATATATATATATACTAGCTACCGTTTAACTAAATATTGAAACAGTACATACATTCTACATATGTACAGCTGACACACTCACATACACACATAAATGCAAACATAGTTGTATTTGTATGTGCATCATACTTGAGTAGACAACAATTTATACATTAGAATTTATGTAACAGCTACTTTTACTTATACATACATACTGGTACATACGTGTATTTGTATAGAGCAGATTACGATATATATACAAAGTATTTAGACGATATTTGACAAACGTAAGCCCGAACACAGCAATTTACTTATATATAAACAACCAACCAAACCAAACAGAGTTCTTTTAAAACAAAACCCAAAATGGCATTCGAGAATCCCATTTTTGGTACGAACAGATCAACAATTATGAAACGAAACGAAAACGGAAACGGAAGTGAAAGTGGAAACCGAAACGATAACGGAAGCAAGGAAATTGTGGTGGCAGACGTGAAAGCCCCCTTAAATACAATATATATACACTTATTTAAAATATTAAAAAAGATTTAAATATATATATGTGCATATATATATACATATATACATACCACTAAATAGTTTAAATGTTTATTTATTGTATTTGAAAACGATGAATGATAATGAAACCAAATTTAAATAAAAGTAATAACTCAAACAAAATGTATATTTATTCTCTAAACTGCCTACTGGCAGTGAGATTCGGAAGTTTGGCAAAGATATAGATCCTTCGGGTTAACGTATTTATTAGTATGTTCTCATAAAATTATTTCTACTCTTCGACTTACACGGTTTTTGAAGGGGATCCCCTAGAAAATTTGACAAAAAATCGAAAAATATTTTTGGTTCCATATTTTGATGCAGAATGATAGCAAATCGACCCAGAAATCATTTAAGGTATTCCGCTTATGAATCGGATAAGAATTGACAAAGATATAGCCATTCCCGTGGACCGTAGGGGCACTTACACGGTTTTTGAAGGGGATCCCCTAGAAAATTGGACAAAAAATCTAAAAATATTTTTGTTCCCATATTTTGATGCAGAATGATGGCAAATCATCCTAGAAATCATTTAAGGTATTCCGCTTATGAATCGGGTGAGAATTGGGAAAGATATAGCCATCGCCGTGTGTCATAGGGGCACTTACACGGTTTTTGAAGGGGATCCCCTAGAAAATTGGACAAAAAATCGAAAAATATTTTGGTTTCCATATTTTGATGCAGAATGATGGCAAATCATCCTAGAAATCATTTAAGGTATTCCGCTTATGAATCGGGTGAGAATTGGGAAAGATATAGCCATCGCCGTGTGCCATAGGGGCACTTACACGGTTTTTGAAGGAGATTCTCCAGCTTAGGAATCTGATGTCGATGTCTACATGTATGTAGTTCGTTGAAAGAAATCAAGTGGAAATATGAATGCATTTAGTTTAATGTTTACAGGTTGCAAAGTTTTTAGAAGAAAATAGTATTGATGCAGGTGTTGATACTGGCATTAATATCGTCAAAGCCCTGTACGGCATGCGCGGTGGCTGCATTAGTGCAGGAAGTGGCATCGTGGGCCACGGCGGGCACACTGCGTCTCAGACCGATTAGGTAGCGCAGGGACTTCTGGCCTTCGAAGGCAAACAATCCGATTTTAGCGCCCAGCTTGACTTTGCAGGTATTCTTCAAGGCATCGCTCTTGTAGGAGTCGCACTTTCTCTTCAGCTTCGCCAGCCGGTAGGCATCGAGGATCAGCTGGAACACCGCACGCTTGGTATTCAGGATTATGTTGATGGAGCTGACGGCGGCATCGCGTCCACAGCCCACGAATTCCAGCGTGGTGTCCTCCACGATGCCGGCAATGTGTACCGACTCCCTTGCCACGCACTCTTCGCTTTCCACCGCCCGTCGTTCGATATCCTCGACCAGTTGCTCAAGCTGGTGGACCGGGTACAGGAAGATCTTCAAAAGTTGACGCTCCGTCAGCAGTACGATTTCCTTGGCCAGGGCCTTTGACTTGGCAATGATCTTGGAGACCAGCTTATTCCAAATTCCAAATTCGGCAATTGCCACGGTGCCATCTTCCGCCAGTTCCAGTTCCAGTTCCAGGTCCATGTCTATGCCAAAGTCCAGGCTAAGATCGATTCCCAGCTCGTTGGCCAAGTCCAGAGCAGTTGCATCTTGGTCGTTCTCCAGGGGCAAGGCAGAGATCTAAGGAAAAGGATGGGTTTATAGTTCTGGTGGATTTATAGTAAGGGGAGACTTACAGCTGCCACGGCCAGGGCCAAGACTAAAATTATACTCTTCATGATTGATTGGAGGTGGTTTTGCAAACTCTATGGGCACTGCCCTTGTCTTTTATACAACTTGGAGACCTATCCGGCTCCCAAACTGGCCCACAGATATGCCGTATCTGTGGGTCAGTTAATTAAAATATATAATTCAAGAGTCAGCTTTTATCGGTTTATTTGGTGTGGTGTGCCTGAATGGAAAGTATTTCCCATTATTTGGTTTCTGTCTTTGTTTTGGTTTAATCAGAATTATTTCCTCTACCTTTTTCTCCAACTGCCCCAAAATAAGAGTGTGGAGAGTGCTGGGTGCCCGATAAGGTGGCAAATTCTATTTCCCTTCTGGTCGGGGCGATAAGGACATCTATTACTGGATTCACTACTTGAAATCGCCTCCAATCTTTAAATCTAAATAATGCCTTAATTATAAAAGATAATGTCATATAATTTATGGTCCGCACTGGGCTTCGATTAAAAGTCATTTCGATGTCAGTGCAAAAATAGAGGTGCCATTCAATCAACGACTCACTTGAGACATTTGTTTATTATTTTTAGTCGGTTATTGGGGGAATCCAAGTATAGCAATTGAACGTTCTTTTCAATGGCTTTGAACTTTATCAATAAAAAAATTCAAATAATTAAAGTTATCTAAATATTGCGTATAATAAATTTTATAGCATAATATCCATAATATTCGCCACCTTTTCATGTTATACTGTTCTGTGTACTGTTCTTTGTGGGATTATGCGACTTAGCTGTGTGTTTAATCTAAATCCCAATAAGCAAACTCTTTGAATAGCAGTTTGGGAATGTAAAGTTCACGCGAAGAATGATTTATAAGGCAGACCATGAGTTTATGGCCGCCAATTCAGATAATTCTGATTAGCACGCCGACGTCTGAAGTCTGGATTTGGCGGGGTATAAATACGATGACACCCTGGGCCAAAGAAACATTCAAATTATTGAAGCCATGAAGTACGCCGTAGTTATTGTCCTCACCCTTTTCGTGGCCAGCGGCTGGAGCCTGCCGGCCGATGGGCCAGCCCAGATGGACGCTCAGGTGCGCAGCGTTGTGGACGAGCTGACTGATCTGGGCAAGTCAACTGGTGAGACCCTGTTGCACCAGTACGAGGAGATTATCGTGGAGCCGCAGCAAGAGTTGGAGGAGGCTTTGGACCAAGTGGAAGCCCGTCGTGCTGAGAGCCCCGAGTGCGTGGCCGCCGAGGATGAGGAGATCGTCCGTATTGTTGACACTGCCCATGAGGAACTGATCTCCTGTGGAGTCGTGGCTGCCAAGACTTCTGCCGAGATCGCTTCCGACGTGAGTGCCGCAACCCAGCAGCTGATTTACGGTGGCTATAACTTGGGAACCACGTATAGCAAGTGCCAGTCGTACAAAAATTCGGTCCTCAAGCAGTCCTGCATGGCTAAGTTTTACATCCAGGCCTCCGTTTACCTGATTAGCGCCCGTTCCTCGATAAAAACCATTCGCAAGTCCACCAGTGAACGCATTCCCGCCGTTTTCACCGATGGAAACCTTTGCACCCACGGCGCCTCAGCCACTGCTGTATTGGGACTCCAGGAGGTTAACAGCCACATTGATGCCTGTGTCGCTCGTCGTCGTTAAGGTTTTCTAATAAAAACGTGTAGTGCAAGTCTAAAATTTTGTTTGAATTTTTTTTAAATTTGGCGCCTAATAGTGTGGTGTTGCACAGGTGAAACACTTGGGCTTTACAGAAGCTCGTAACAGAAGCACAACGTAACATGTAACAGCTACGTAACGTATTTAGGCGCTCCCCCACATTGGAAACAAACAGCAACAAATAAAAAAAATGTTTGGCTTATTAAGACCGGTGTTTAAATTGCAATTTCTATTTGTGATAGCCGCAATTCTGGTTGGAATCTACCAAACGGAGATCAAACAGTTTCTACGTCGATATACGGACACCTATTTGGACCAGGCCGGCGGCGGTGACGAAATACCGGTGGCCTTTCAAACTGGTGATGTCACTCTCTTCACTGCAGCTGAATTAGCCACTTTCAATGGTGAAGAGGGGCGCCCCCTCTACTTGGCCCTGCTTGGGTCTGTATTCGACGTGACCCGTGGAATTAAGCACTACGGAGCCGGCTGCAGCTACCACTTCTTTGTGGGGCGAGATGCCTCCGTCTCTTTCATATCCGGGGAATTCGAAGACTACGATCCAAAAACGGCTGACGACGTTCTCGCCTTAAAGCCTGATGACCTTATTGGTCTGGCTGGTTGGCGTGATTTCTACCAAAAGGACTATATATACAAGGGCAAGCTGATAGGACGTTTCTACAACGAAAAGGGCGACCTGACCACCTATCATCACAAATACCTGGCGCTTTTAGAACAAGCGCAGGATGCTAAGAAGGAAGCGGAGGAGCTGAGGAATCGGTATCCCGGCTGCAACATCGAGTGGAGTGAGGCGAAGGGCACGCGGGTGTGGTGCACCAACACCAGCGGCGACGGTAAAACGCGCTCCTCCTCGGGCTATCCACGGAAGTTGTATAGTCGGGGCAACAAGAACTTCCAGTGCGCCTGCGTCCCAGAATCGGAGCTAGATGAGATCGATGCTGGAGGGAAAACTGCCCACAGGGATGTAATGCTGAAACCGTACGATAACTGCCAACCCAGAGCCTTAGAATGTTTTTATATAGTCTAGCAGATAGCTCTAATTTTGTATACAATTTCTAGTGATGTGAGATGTGTACAGCGTGCTTCACGTTATATCTTAAAAGCTTACAGCTGTTACGTTTTATACAAATTAAGTAAAGAGCTGTTAAGCCATAAAAGAGTGCTGTTGAACGCATTGCTCACTTGTTTTGTTTACAATTTTGATAATAAAAATATTTATAAAAGACATCAGCTAATCCTGTAATTGATTCGGCGAAAGCCTACTATATCTTGCTCACCGCCTGATGGCCGACACTGCGGTTAAGCTGGCAAGTCTGGAGATGGACGAGGGTGTCAGTCTCCTGTCTGATACTGTGGTGGCGGGCCTTAAAAATCTTGGAACCATTATCTCGCCAGTTCTTACCAAGACACTGATCGCCAATTCCATGAAACTGACGCTTCATCCAGATGCAAGTGAGTATACGAAACTAAAAAGTTTTATCTCGACTGATTAGCTATTTAATCCGCAGCCATAGCGCCAGTTCCGGAGATTTATGCTACAAACGCCGCCTGTGCAAAGCAAAGCGAATATGCGGTAGTCACCCTATACGCCGTGGCGACCAAGCATGGCTGGGATGGCCTTGCGCTGCGCCAGCAACTGGAGAACCTCTCGATCCACACGACGGCAGTCGACGAGCTAGCCCGCGTCTACGAGGACAACCGCAAGGACCTGATTCTCCGGCAGCTGCAGTTGGGCCACAACTTCCCTCACATTACGGACGTTCAGTGGCGCATTGTGTCCGACGTGAAATCCTCCACCTCAGATAGCAGCACGGGGGTGGCCAACTTCTTCATCAACCTGGGCCACTTTCGGCAGAGCAGTGGTGAGCGGATCACTGTGGTGGAGTTTGTTTGCAACGCGGAAGAATTGCAATCACTGATTAATCGGCTCAAGGAGATCGAAAGGCACTGTGCCCAGATGGCGGTGGCCTAGGCATTTATATTTTTAATCTATACAGGTTTTATATCCTACGTGACGACCTAGGATCAATAAAATCGCAAATCAAAATGCAAATCTAAGGATATTTAAGAGAAAAGGTATGTACATACGGCAAGAAGATATTAAATTTTTGATGTTGAGGGAAACAGAACTCTTATCGAATATATTTCGCAGCATATATAGTTTAACAAGCCTATATATCTATACACAATTTCGGAACAGAAAACCTAAACAGTTAACACAGTCATCATCACTAAAAAGCTTCTTCATCTTTATCGTCAACTTCTTGGCGTGTGTTTGCAACTCTTTTCCTTTCAATCTACCTATATCTCTTATGAATTAGATTCAAGGATAATCTAAGTATGCGATCGCTTTATTGTGGCAGTTCTTGGAGCCCAGGGTGACCAGGCGGTAGCAACAACTCCACCACTTGCGCGTAGTGACTCGGCGCTGTACAATATATGGTGCCAGAGAAGCGGGTGCGATCGTTTTCTTCAGGAGCTATTACACGGCAGTTGTTCTGATACGACAGGCGCATGTTCAGTCCACGGAAGCGATGGTCTTGTTTGTAAAGCGTTGTTCCCTCTTTGGGCATAAAATATGGGCGTCCGCTGAACGGATTTAGAAAGTCTGCCCAGTAGCCAAGCGATAGAAGGCGATCGCACATGTCCCGAGCAGCGAGCACAAACTGGAGGAAAGGTAGGACATATTACAATGTTGTGGATGAGAAATGCGCCACCAGACTCACCTTCGCAGCACCCTGTTCAATGTCTCCTTCGTGGCTAAGAATCAGCATTGTGATGTGCGTATCGTTCTCGGCAACGGCGCGAACTGGAAAGAGTTCCATCAGCGACTCGCGGATGAGTAGTGGACACGGGCAGCAAGAAAACTCTAAGCGCGATTTGTCCACATTCGGTTCTTGGAAAAAGTTCACTAGATCAGCCAGCGGCCCCAACAAGCCGACGGTGGTGCTATCGCCTTGCCAGGCGGGTCCCGTGGCATTTGGCAGGAAGAATCTGTTGTTCTTGGACGATGTCAGTTCCCAGTTGAGCTCGCCCTCGAGGCTATTCATGTCATCATCGTCCAGGTCCCGTGATTTGGAGACTGTCTTGTAGGACTCCCCCGCATCCGGGGGGGAACCGTTGCGCTTAGAGTAGTTCGCCCGCTGAATGGCCATGGGAAGGCCATGTCCATGGGCAAGTGACTGGGAACGAAGCAGATCGGCTCGGATAATTGCCTTGGGCAGGCTGCCGGGGGCAATACTGCCCAGTACGCGACTCAGGGGACGCGACATAATATTATATCATAGGCTTTTCTGCAAGTGCGTAATATTCGTTGGCAATGAGAGCGCCCAGTTTGTGGGCTACCCCTCGCCCAAAATACCCCCAAATAAGCGAATGAAAAATACTTACCTTCGCGTAGGAGACTGGAGGACTAGAAGAAGAGAGATGAGCTGCACAGGATAGGCGTTTTTGGATGGTGCTGTTGGTTCCGGAAAACTATCAAAATTTACGTTGAATTTAGTTTAGAGATTTTTGTAGTCTAAATGGAGTGAACCTTTCCCGGTGTCACCTAGCCAAACGGCTACTATGTAGTTTATAGCTATTTCTCCAGTGTTGAGAAGCAAGGAACAGCTGATTTCATCGAAAAGTGTTGCAAACGTTCCGCAGAGAATGTCTTCACAACACTGCATGCCAAAAAACGCAAACAATAAGATATTCTCTTTAGAAGCTGTTTATTTCCCGCATTTTTTAAGTAAGTCATCTATTTTATTGTTTAAGTTACCTTCTAATGTCGTTCTCTTGCGGTTTCAGAAAACAATGCGGAGCACTTGACCTGATTAATGGATTCTAACAACCCCGTGGACTTTGTTGTTAAGCCGGACTTCTTGTAGCCGCTGCTGAGCGCCAATTATTCCAATTGACAGGAGATGGCGCATCCTGCTGTCTTGAGCCGCCACGTACCTATAAAGAGTGAGGCGACCGAAGAGGAGTACGTTCTTCAGGAAGCGTTTATACAAATTTCGGGCAAAAACGATGTGCTGCTCAATAAACTCAGGAGCAGTGAAGAGGAAGGCCCAGGATTCGGAAACAAAAACACATTCCTGGTGAAAAACGAGCCCATTGATGAAGAACTTCTGGCGTATGGCAGCTTGGAACAGCCCCCCAGTCCAAGTGAGAGCATCCACTTTGAAACCATTATTAAGGAAGAGGTCCCAGAGCTTCCCACGGACGTCAACGAAAACTGCGACGATGAGGAAAGTTTGCTCGAAAGAGTAAGTGATAGAGATAGTAGCTGCCACGATGACGATGACGATGAGGAGGACGATGAGGAGGACGAATACGTGGAGTCTCAAGATAGTTCTGAGTACTCCGAAAACGAAGGCTCGGGTTCATTCAAGTGCTCCCGTTGTCCCAAGAGCTTTAGATTTGCCAAAAACCTCAAGAAACACCTAAACGCTCACCCGTCTGACACGGGAAAGCGAACCTACAAGTGTAAACACTGCCAAAAGGTCTATACGCAAAGAGCACGCTACAAAAATCACCTTTCTACCGACCATAATGATGAGGATTCGGAACTAGAATGTAACTCCGATGACGAAAAGATTTACAAATGCGCTCGTTGCCCCAAGACGTTCAAATATTTGTCAAATCTGCGAAAACACGCCCGGATGCACACTGCCGGGCTTCCCTACAAGTGCAAACGCTGTCATATGACCTTCTCCCAAAAAGCCCGTTACGAGACACATAAGCGTGTTCCCCACAAAGCGGATGGAACGCCTATGGATCGCCCATTCAAGTGCCCAAAGTGTGAAAAAAGGTTTAAAAAGGAAATCCAAATGGTTCGTCACGCTCGGAGCCATAAATCTAGGAAAATGGCCAGGGGTAAGACATCCTTAAAGGAGGATGTGAGTACAGATTCGGAGGTATCGGAAGAAGATGCCGAATGTTTTTCAAAAGAACTCCAGGACGACGGCACATATAGGTACAAGTGCCGATTTTGCAACAAAAGTATTAAACACAAGTGGAATTTTAAGAGGCACCTTCTTCGCCACGCGGAAAGTCGTTCTTATAAGTGCGACCGATGCGACGCAGCCTTTTTCAACGAAAAACGCTACAATAAGCACTTATTGCTGATCAAACCTGATGGAAAGTGCCCGTCTGCTTCCTTTCAGTGCACTCAGTGCCTGGCGACTTTTGAATCGCATCAATTTCTGACTCGCCACGTCCGGAGACATGACCCAAACTGGTGGCACGAATGTCTCATATGCCAGAAAACGTTTCAGAGCGCCAGTGGCCTCAGGAAACATCACAAAGTTCATATTTTTCCTAGAGAGCCCCCGAAACAACAGGCGCTTTCACACCACTGCAGCGTTTGTTCGAAATCCTTCGCGGCAGCTGGGCACCTGTTAATACACATGCGGGTGCATACGGGCGAAAGGCCATTCCAATGTACTGAATGTGCAAAAAGTTACAAACAGAAGGGGCAACTCGCTGCGCATATGCCCACCCATACCGGAGAGCGGAAGTACAATTGTGTACAGTGTACCATGTCGTTCACATACAAATCTTCACTCAAGCGGCATGTAATGAGCGTACATAGTAATGGGATGCCGTTTGAATGTCCGGATTGCGATGAAACCTTTGATTCAATGTATAGGATGCGGGAGCACAAGAAAACCCACTCCACTGAGCGTTACAAGTGCTCCGAATGCCCAATGACCTTCGTGTCGGAACACGGCCAGAAAACACATAGGCTGATTCACCTAAAACCACCTGTTCCAGCTAAACGATTCCAATGCCCTCACTGCCCCAAGACCTTTGCCAGAAATCAAGGGTTGAAGATGCACAGGATAGTCCACGAGATGCCCAGCTCTGCCAAAAAAAAACCCGAAATAGAATACGCAACCGAATCCTGAGAGCTAAGTTTAAAAACATTATTTATTTTTACTTTAAGAATAATGTTTACTAATGTATCCCCTATTTTGTACAGCAAGCTTTATCCAATAATATCAGGGCCAATTGAAGCTGGAATAGGCCCGTATTATTTCGCTGAAAATGTTTTAATTGAATAATTTCTCTTTTGTTTATGTTTGCCTTAGGGATGGCAACTATCGATATTAGCTTTTTTCCGATTTCCGCCGAATAATTTTGTTCGATTTCGATAAAACTGGTATGCAATTCGATAGATTTTGGGGCGCTGATTCCGAAAATGTTAAGCGATGCCAGATTGGGCCACAAATAACCGAGATATAGAAAGCCCCTTTCTAGCCCGATCTGGCAACACTGCAGATCGTTGCACTGATGGCTTAGAACCCTACGACTCGTTTAAGACATCACTCGTCCAAATCGAACGTTAAATGGCTGAGAAACTAATAAAAAAAAAAAAAAGTTTGCGGCCCAGCAACTTTCTATTTATACTTCTCCGAAGCTTGAACCGGTTGCGAATTATAAGATGGCGGGTGCATCATGTTTCTTTGCGACTTTGCCTTTGTGAATGAATTCTCCGATTTCGACAAAATTGGTATGCAGTTCGACTAACATCGAGGCGCTGATTCCAAAAATGACCAGCGTTGCCAGATCGGACCACAGACGACCGATATATGGGCTCTAGAAAGCCCAATTCTGGTCGGATCTGGCAACGCCGCATATTTTTGGAATCAGCGCTTGAATGTCCACCGAACTGCATACCACGATATCGATATCGATTTTTCGATATCGAACAACTCATTTTCGACTGATTTTTCGAAAATGGTGAAAATGCTATTTCCGGCCTAAAGGCAAATGTTCTATACACGTGGTGTATAGCCTTTCCATTTTTGCGAAGCTTTAAAGCTATATGTTGGATGCGGCAGTCACACTGACAAACCCAATTAGAAAGTGCGGCATTTTCAATTTAAAATTTATTTAACTATATAGTTTTAACACCAAATCAGCATAGGTAGAAAATATAAGATTTGACAATACAATGTCGATGTTTTTAAAAATTGGAACCTCATTTTTACTGCAATTTGAACCTGCATTTATATCATGTTTCCTATAAGCTTCAAAACATGACTGAAAAAAATGAGTTTTCAACCAAACTAGTCTTTCAAAAGCTGGCGGTACCAATCGGGAAGGATCTGGTTCTCCTTGCCGTGCAGCACCTTGTAATAAGTACATTGCTCCTGGGCCAAGAAGTCCACCTGGACAACGGCAAATGGATCGTCGATCGCCTCCATGAGGGTCTTGAGTTGGCGCAAGAATATCTCCAGAAATGTGAGCATGGCCGATGGACTCCAAGGCTTATTATTAGGCAGATCGCGTGTATCGTATTGGCGAATCTCCTGCACCACGCCGTTTTTGTCCCTCATACCAGCGTAGATCGTCTTGATGCCGACTAGAAAAGATTGGCTCCACCAGCTGGCCGTCTTAAAGAATTGGAACGTTTTTTCTTGATGGGGGCTCCTATTGTAAGGTCCAGTCTTCAGCTCCACAAATTCAAGGCGTTTATAGATGAGGGGATCTTGGAAATTCCTGGAAAAGGATGTGGGTGAATGGATATATTCAACTACTATAAAAAGGTTTATTTACACTGGCTGAGAACTGGCAATGGTGTCCATTTCGGCTCCATAAATCAAACGAAGTCCATTTATATTTTTGCGAAACATGCAGTTAAGTTCCGCGCCCTCGTTGACAGGTACATCGGTTAATGGCTTACCGCATGGCTTGTTGCTGGTAAGGCACTGCTCAAACTTGTAGCCCCAGGAGCATATGTCCAGTTGTTGTGCTGTCAATGAAGCCTCCCCCGCCAACTCTTGCTCGGTGTCCTCTTTATACACATAGATCGTGCCGTTCACACGGGTAGCCTTAATGCGAAGATCTTCCTGCCTCTCATATTGCATGCACATTATTTTTCTGAGGACTCCTCGCCATATTATGAAATCAGCATCAAGTTGGAAGGTGTCTCCCTTCCGGACCAGAAAATCCTTTTGATGACTTTCTATATATTTCAGAATGTACTCAAGGTCATTCATGATGGCCGGCTTTCTTCGAATAACATTTTCGATTCCTTGGTTCAAATCGATGGGCACTTTTGGGATGGGATCGCACAGATAAGTGGCATTTCGTGCGTCGTCGTGATACTTCCAGTCGGTGATACTGAAAATGCCGATGCACTCAGCGGCCGTCATCTTCGGAAGAGGGTGTCGGAAGGGCCATCCCTTCAGCCTATGCTGGTGCCACGGAACTGGGATTATTCCGTTTTCGAATAAATTTTCGTTCCCCATGATGCTATATGAATCGGCAAAAGAGATTTGAAAAGATCCACTTCCTGGTACTTGTCAAAATATAATGGGACCAAGTTCAAAGCAAGCTTTTTCATGAAAAAGGATGGATTTTCAATACGATGTTTCCAGCACTGGAAAAGTCGAAAACATGTTTAAACTTGCGCGTTAAATAACTATTTATGAATCGATATATCGATATTATATTCCAATGTGAGAAAATATGAATTTGATGAAAACCAAAAGCACAATTTGTATTTTAGAAAATATTCTGTACTACTTCGTATCTATCTGGATTATCGGGTAAATAGAAGTTGTTTGTATTTATTTTTAAATATGATAAATGACAAAGATTCAAAAGATGTGTACAGAAAATTGCTGAAAATGTTTTGTACTTTTTTTTATAAATAAGGAATATATTCTTAAAAAAGTTATTGTACACTAATAACTCTTACATTAACTAAATATATAAAAATTGTTAATTTACAAATATTTTGCTATTTTTAGGTATATGTGTTTAATGACGCTACGGTCACACTGCCAAACATCAAACTGATGCGGTTCTTTATATTTTTCTTATTTTACCGTTTTTAACGCCAAATCAGCGTGACTCGGCAATGAAACATATTCTACTGGACCCCCCAGTCCTGACCGAACAAGACAAGACGCCTGGAGAGCTGGAAAATGGCCAAAAAAGTAAAGAGAAGTCGGTGGACCTGCCGGTGGAAAATGATGGAAATCCTGAAGAGGAATCTGCAGATATGGGCCGAGATTCCTTAAGTCAACTGGCCTGCAACTTGCACAGATTGGCGTCAGAGGACCACATAGTCATTGACAGGTCTGTATAAACTGATAAAAAAGAATTCTTCCCATTTACGCATCAATCTTTGCATTCTAGAAAGCGAAACGAGGTGATACGCACCGATGCGGTGACACAGCAGATGACCATTTACCGTTGCTTGGATCCCGTAGGTATGGGCATGCGTCCCCCTAATCCGAAGCCCAACAACCCGCCGGCCAAGGTGGGCAGACCCCAGAAACGTAGCTCTGCGTCGACAGCTACCAGTGTTCCGGCGCCCAAAAAAACGAAGCCAGAAGCTCCAGCCATGCCGGCTCCAGAAATTCACCGAACACGTTCAGGACGTCAGGTGCGTGGCTGCATGCCGCAACCTGCTCCAGTAGCAAGTGTCCCATCTGCTGAGCCCGATTCCTCTCAGTTTCTGGAGCTTCTGGTGGCCGATTTGCGGGATAAAGATTATCGGGCTCCCATGCCGGCTCCCAAGAGCAGTCCTGCGGGCAATCAGGAAGTGGCTGCCACTCCCCGAGCCGTCCCCAAGAATTCCATCTGTCCGGGCTGTAATAAGATCTTTCTGGGCCGCCGTCTGCAGCGGCATTTCGTTAAATTTCCAGAGCACATGCCGCGTTCCGGTGAACAACAAACGGTGGCACCCTCACTTTTTGGTCTCCTTACCGCCCAGCTTCAGCGGCACTCGCATCTCAGCGAGGAGCAGCGCGCCGATCTCTTCCTGCACGAGCTGAATGACTTTGTCGAGCAGCTGCAGCTGCGAAGCCAGCGCCTCATCCGGAATACATCGGGATTGCATTTTGTGAACGCGCGAATTGCTCGTGTCCTGGCCATTCCCGAGGGCCAGTATGCACTGGATATGTCGGCCATGGAATCGGCTCAGGCCCCGATACCGGAACCCGAGGGCGCAGTCCTGTCGAACGGTGTCAGCGGCGTCGGTGGCGGTGCCCGCAATCTGGTCGACTACACTGGGTTAAGCATGTCGCTGGACGATACACTGACGGATGAAGCTGCTCAGCGGTTGAACCTGTCGGCGGGTGGTAAACTCCTGCCGCCCTCGGAGGAGAGTCTGCTTCGCAATGTCAGCGATCTGATGCAGCCACCAGTGGCAGCGGCACCGGCCACAGTGAATCATGGCTACGATCATGCCAGCGATAATGCCGTGGAGGCCCTAACCATGAAGGAAACACCCAATACGGAGGCCATACTCGATCTCAATGTGGATTTCTTTCAATTTTCCAATCCAAATTAGTGTTTGGATTTTAAAGTAAGAATTTTTCTTTTATTTTATGTAATTTTAAGTTTTAGAATTGAAGTTAAATGAATTTCATACCTGTATATACATATATATATATAGTTTTTTAAGTGTTTTGAAAGAATTTAAAAGTTTTTAGATCCGATATTGTTTGTAAATATGAATTTTAAGTATAAGCTTCGATGTATATTACGATTCGATTGAAAAAATTTGAGATATTACTTGGAAAGACCCCTTAAAATAATAATAATATATGTAGAACAAACATATAATAGTTTATGAATATTTTGAAACTAAAAATACCAAAAATAAATAACCTCTTATAACTATTACTTAACTCTTACTACTAAGGTTTATGTTTATAATTTATATATGTAGACTTATAGATATGTATATCGTTTTTTTTTCAATTTGAAAAATTGTATTCCATGCGTGCATCTTTGTTTACCCACCGCAGGTGTTCCTCCGATTTGTTTGTCCAGTCGCATTAAAATCCGTACATTTATGGCACGCCGGAATCGAATCGGTGTAGACACAGTCAGCCATTCAGCCATCCTGTCCGGGTGCTCTGGTCAAAATCAATTTGGCGGTTATCACCGCAAATGGACTAAGGACTACCATGCACTGACCTTGTTTGCCTTGGGTCAATATGATTAGGACTGATGACCGAAACCGAAATGGAATTGCAAGTGCAATCACTCCACCACTGACCACCAAAACTATAAATGTCCAGGATCCGTGGTGGTACGGACTCAAAACGGCAATGAAATCGTTACGGATGAGTAAGGATACCAGAGAGCATAGCAGACAGCAGCTGGATAAAAATGGATCTGGCTCGGAGGACGATGATGAGAATACCATTTGCAGTGGAGCGGCCATCAAGAGGAGTGTGGTATACTATTTAAAGAACACTACACTTCATGGATTGAAATATATTGCGGAGGAGAGTATAACGATTCCGGAACGGTGAGCTATACTCTTAAAAAATTAAAGGACAGTGTCCGCGTGTCCGTTTGTCCGCGACTGACTGTTTTATTTTATTTTGTAAGCGTTTTCTTCGGGATTGCCTTCCTTGTGGTGGTTATCCTGTCCGGATTCTTCATCTCCAACGTCTACTCGAAGTGGAGCGCCTCCCCGATCATCATCTCGACGAGTGCCAAGCAAAAGCTGACCAGCAACATGCCCTTCCCAGCCATCACCATCTGTAATCTAAACCAGGCGCTGTACAGCAAAGTGGATAGCATACCCAGGACTAGCACCAACTTCTCCCTGCTAATGGGTCTGTGTGATCAAGGTGCCGACACAAGTATCTCGTACATCGGCACCTGGAAGTACTTCAAAGCGATCCTAGTGGAGGTGGCTCAGCCCTGCGAGAAGATGCTTCTGTATTGTAGCTTTGGTTCCCGGGAGGAGGATTGTGCGTTGCTCTTCAACTCGATCCTGACGGATGATGGCCTGTGCTGTAATTTCAATGCCCTGGATCCGTCCTATCTTATCCGGAATTATAGTGATGATGTCCGTTGGGAGCCGGCTCAGCCGAATATGCGTTACGAGCCCATCGATTGGACGCCGGAGAAGGGTTATGCCCGCAAACTGCCCGATTTCTATTATCCACGTACGTCCGGTGGTACTGGTATACGAATGGGTCTCACCGTGGTCCTAAATGCCTCTATAGCGGAATACTATTGCACCAAGTCCATGAGCGTGGGTTTCAAGGTGGGTATCATATCAATATTCTACAAAATTTCAGATATTTTTTATTGACGAGAATCCAGGTATTGGTCCACAATCCCGCCGAATTACCAAAAGTGAGCAATTACGGATTTGTGGTCACCGCCGGACGTGAAGCCCGGATACCGATTGAGCCCGTATACGAAGATGCTCTGCCTAGTATTCGATCCATCAAGAAATCGGTGCGTCGCTGCCTCTTTTCCGATGAAAACGAATTGGTGTATTACCGGACCTATTCCCGTAAAAATTGTGAACTGGAATGCGAGGCGAAGCTCCTGCTGCGCGAGTGCAGCTGTGTGTTGTATTACCTGCCCCGGATCGATCCCATGGCGCGGGTGTGCGGTCCGAACGATAATCTATGTACGGATCGGGTGCAAACGGAGATCGAATCCTCGCTGACGAATCTATCCTGCGAGAGCTGCTGGCCGGGATGCTTTGAACTCACCTACAAGGCTACGCCGTCAACGGCGTCCATTGTCACGGATCCCCGATTCATGGCCGGTGAGAATATGCCGGACTATCTCTTTCATGGACCGTACAGCAATGCCAGTGAGATGTCCATCTTGCACTTCTATTACATGACGAATATATTTCGTAGCACCACCAAATCGGAAATGTTTGGCTTCACCGAATTCCTATGTAGGTTATTCCTATACTCCATTATGTTGTTAAAATATTTATATATTTTTTTTAGCCAATACCGGTGGTCTTTTGGGTCTCTTTATGGGCTTTAGTATCTTTTCCGTGATTGAGATCGTTTACTACATCACTGTACGTCCGTATTGCGCCTCCCGGACACTCAAGCAGCAGCATAACCGCCGGCTGGAGCAGTTGGGCTGGTTGACCCCCATCCGGCCACCGGTGCGCAAGTTCGTCCGTCGACAGCGCTGGGGCGGATTGCCTCCGTCTTATAGTGAGGTTTATAAACGGAGTTTTAGTCGCAAAAAACTGGGAAAAGTGGAAAAACTGGAAAAACCGGAAGCCACAAGGTCGCAGAGGAAAAGTTTTTGGCAAACTCTGCAAGTTCGTCCTGCGGATTTGAAAACGCCGGAATATCCCTACTTGGAGTAAGTTTTATATTCAAAAATATTTATATATTTAAAAAAACATATATATTTTAATATATGTTATATTACTACTTTTTATAGTTTATGTATATAATTATTATAACAATGTATATTTATATAACTATCTTATTAAGACCCCTGTTGACCCTATAGGGGAAAACCCCATCGATATAGAAATCGTTTAAAATCTTGAAAATCTTGAAATCTTAAAATCTTCCGCTTGAAAATGCGGAAAAATGGACAAAAAATCGAACATATTTTGTCTCAGGATTTTGATGTAGAATGGTAGCAAATCGATGCAAAATGGTGGCAAATCGATCTAGAAATCGTTTAAGGTACTCCGCTTGAGAATCGGATAAGAATTGGGGAAGATATAGCCATCGCAGTGGACCCTATAGGGGAAATCCTCATTTTCAGGGCCTCCATCAGGAAAAATGGAAAAAAAATCTAAAAAATATTTTGTATCAGGATTTTGATGTAGAATGGTAGCAAATCAATATAGAAATCGTTTAAGGTACTCCGCTTGAGAATCGGATGAAAATTGGGGAAGATATAGCCAGTATTTGACGAGGCTGGACTGATCCCTGACCACCAGTTTGGCTTCAGGCGGCGACACGGTACGCCAGAGCAGTGCCATCGGGTAGTGCAGTGCATCCTGGACGCGTTTGAAACCAAGAAGTACTGCATGGCCGTCATGCTGGACGTGAAGCAGGCGTTTGACCGAGTCTGGCATCCCGGTCTTCTATATAAATTAAAGACTGGCCTACCCCGACCATACTTCCAGTTCCTAAAGTCGTTCTTGGAAGACCGTAAATTTGCTGTTAGATGTGGCGAGGCCATCTCCGGTATTAGAGAAGCTCACGCTGGTGTACCCCAAGGCAGCGTTCTTGGCCCGTTGATGTACAATGCTTACACGGCCGACCTCCCTGTTCTTCAGAGGCCTGACCTGCTCGCAGCAACCTATGCAGACGACACCGCCTTCCTTACCACCGCCGATAGCGCATTGGGGGCAGCCGATACGATGCAATTGCAGCTTGACTTGCTCAGCGACTGGCAAAAGCGATGGAACATTGCCGTCAATAACGAGAAGTCCACTGCCTCCACATTTTCTCTCTGCAAAGGCAACTGCCCTCCAGTTAACCTTAACGGCTCTCCAATCCCACAGGTAGACAATCCCAGGTACCTGGGATTCACCCTAGACAGGAGGCTCACCTGGAAGCCCCATCTGATTAAGAAGAGGAAACAGGCTATTCAAAGACTTCGATCCTTCAACTGGCTTATGGGTAGGAAATCGAAGCTGAGAACTTCCACTAAACTCCTCATTTACAAGGCAATAATACGCCCTATCTGGACGTACGGCATACAGCTCTGGGGAACTGCGAGCAAGACGAATGTCCGAACTATGCAAGCTTTCGAAAATAGAGTCCTTCGAATCGCCACTGGGGCCCACGTCTATCATGATAATCGCACTATCCACGAGGTTCTCAATTTCCCTTGGGTCAAGGACGAGATACAAAGAAGCAGCGCACGTTACATGCAGAGGCTTCATAATCACCCGAACCAGTTGGCCAGCTCCCTGCTGGACAGCAGCGAGCAACCCAGACGACTTAAAAGGACACACCCGCTGGACCTCCCCTTACTACTCTAATTTTTTTTTCTACCATATTAATATTTAAAAATATCTATACGTGAAGTTTACGTGATAAAATTTAATGGTTGTCCCTAATGGACAGTTTTAAATAAACATTACCCTGCTATTACAAAAAAAAAAAAAAATTTTTTTTGTTGAAAATGTAATTGTTTTTTAATTTCATGTTTTAAACTACTCGTTTCTTTTAGTTTTTGTTGTGTTTTTTGCTTACACAGCCCAAAGTTTATGGCCCAAAAAAATGGGCCAGGAGAAAATAATCCAAAAACAATAAATAAATCTTAGAAGAGGCCAATGAACGGCGCATCAGTGGGTGGCGGTGACCTTAGAAAGCACTTGGGGAAAGAAGATTCAAAATAATGCCAGAATATGTATGAGTAATTTATAATAAAAGTATTTTTTTAAGTTTTATTTTTGGCTTTAAAAAATTGTTTTTAAATATGGATATGCCTGATTATACTTTATTTTTTAAGAAAAAATTTTTGGAAAGTGTAATTGTAGCGGAAACCCGGGCTACGCCCGTTTAAGATTGCGGATATCGGTTAATGGCGCTAATCGCCACGCGACTTTAATTTTAATTGATTTTCTTCTTTACCTTTAAACCAAAAGATAGAGTATTTTTTTGGTTTTTTTTTTTATTCAACCCATGAAATGTTTTCAAAATAATGTAGTAACAAAATATATATACATAATGTGTAAAGATATTAAAATATAGGGGATGTAGATACCCCTAATAAACACTTTAATAATCAATAAAAACTACTATTCAAAAATGTATAATCTAGTTTATGGTTAAGCAATCCTAAAGCTCCTAAAAAATTTATAATTTCTGGAAAGAGTATTTAATGTTCTAATTAGGTTAATATATATTTTTTCTTTCCCTTGATTTTTTGCTTATTGTGTGCCAATTGTAAATTAATTGAGAGACAATTTTGGTATTGGCTTTGGCCAAAAAAAAACTTCCCTCCTTCTGGCTGATGTCATGTCTTTGGGATTTCGTATAGACCATGGAATTTTATGAGCCACAAAAAAAGAGGGGAGCGGGTCGAATAGTGACACCACTACTCTGCAAAGGGAAAAAATCGGAAAATCCTCAACCATCAATGTCAAGTGGATTGAAAAGTGTCTGTTTCTGCGAGTTTCTCGACTTCACATCATCTCACATTGCCTTTAAGTAGCTAAGTGGCTTCTTCACCGATTCCACTCCTATTCCTCCCCGGAAAACATCTAGACTCTAGACTATATGTATATGTATTTCTTTCCCCCAATTCTTTGGGGCCAACCCGCTTTATTACATGGCCAGCTGGATTATCTCACATAGCGCTTGAATTTCTAATTCTTTTTTTGGCTTTTGGTTTTCCGATTTTTTTCCAAAAAAAAAAAAAATTAGGAGGTCTTCTTGGCCTTTTTTTTGTTAATAAACAAACAAGTGTTGGGAATGTTTATAGGTGTAGACCCATGGAAGTAGTGGAAAAATAAAGGCAAGGGTCTGGGGCTCAATCCTCTTGAAGTTCACTTTTTTTTTTTGGTGTATTTTGCTTTTTTTTGTTCAAAAGTTTATTTAAAGAGTGTAAAAGAATTATCCTCGCCCTCAGAGAGAGCTTAAAATAATAAATACAAGTTCTAAATGTTTTCTTTACTTTCATTTAAGGTTTCTTGAAGTTTTAATAGTTTTGTTTAATTTATTTGTTGAGATATTTGATAGGCGCTTAGATACTTATTAAATTTGTTGTATTTTGGTCATTTAATTGTTCTAGAATCTAGAACTATTCCATTTATTGTTATTTTTATTTAAAAAAATTTTGTCCTAATTTTTCCAAAACCTCTTAATTTTAAATAAACCCTTATTTATGCTTAAACTTTATAAATAAATTAAAATCCTCCAAAGATTATCGTCTGGTGGCCGAAAGAAATCCATAAACTTTTGCCTTCCGCCTTCGAACTTGTCCATCGGAAACTATTGGCTCGAATAATCTATGTCTCGGGCCATATATCCATCGGAGAACATTTCACTTTCCTCCAGTTTTAATGGCGGGGTTATATAATATATTATCTGGCCCGTGATTCATATGCCCCCCAAGACAGACCACCACAAAAAAAAACCAACCCACAGAAGCATGTGCATCTGTTTAGTTCCCAGAATTTTACGCCTGAGAACTGCCGGACTATCTGCCGGATAGTTCGGAGATTTTTTTCTTATCCCTATGAATTGTGGGAATTCCTTGCGATTTCACTTTCAAAACACTTTTTTTTTGAATCTCTGTTTTCTATTCACTGCTGATACAGCGGGGTTGCTCTTTTAAAATTTTAATAGCGTTTTGGTTTTTGTTTTATTTTTAAAAATATTGTTAAACAAAACAATGACATGCACTGCTTACCGACACATACACGCGTGGAAGTTTAAACAATAATAGCGGCAATTCATTTCCTTTCCTTAAGATTTTCCTTTTTTTTTTAATTCTGATGGAAGTGAGGTACATATTTGTAAAATAAATTATAAGATATTATAACTATCATAGGTAGATATGATACTATTTTAAGAATTTATGAATAGTCTTGTCACACCTTTAATTCTTTTCTTAAAAATTGCATTTTAAGATTCGAGTTTGCTTTTATTTCACTCTTTAACTGACCTTTATCATTTCACCTTTCATTGTATTTTTTTTCAAGAATGCCTTATTGAGTACCGGGTATCATATTATTGAATATTTTAAGATTCTTAAAACTTTTGTTTCTAAAAAATCATTTTCTTTCTAAACTTTTATAGTTAAATCCGTAATGTCTGGCACTGTACCTGCATGATCAAATGTTTATGCTAAGACAACTACAGCAACACCAACAACAATAACACCAGCAACAACAACAACAAAAACAAGAACAAACAACAATAATTAAATGGCCAGCAGCAACAATTGGCTATTCCACGTGGGTGGATATACTTTTTTTTTCAATTTTTTTCTTTTGTGAATGTGGCTACATGAGGTGGCATGGATTCCAAAAGTGGGAGTGAGAACGGGAACGGGAACTGTTGCCGCTGCTGCCACAGTCGACGTTTCTGCTGCTGCTGCTGCTGGCTCTGCCGAGCATCGCCGGGACGGGATCTCCGGCGGAAAGCTAGAAATTCAGTCAGAAATTGGACGTCGCGAATGCTGCCGCCGACTGTCGTTGTAAAAGTGTGAATTTGAAAATCGACAAACGAAAACCTACAACTTGCAACCTGCAATCTGCAACCTACAACCTGCAACATCGAAAAAATATCCCCACAAATCCCATCCAATCAAGCGTGTTTTTTGAGTGCTTTTATTCCTATTTTATTTTTTATTTTTTTGGCAATTTTTTTTCTGTGCGTGTGCATTGGCATAAACGATTCCACCTTTGTTCTTCGGATTTGGATGTTTCGCCAGCAGCTGGCAAATAAAAAAAAAATATATATATATCAGGAGATTCTCTGGAGGAACAATTAAAAACAGCAAAAGTTGCGAAATGCATTCCACGGCATGCGGTGTCGGTGCTTCAGCCACGAATCTTTCAACACTGCAATCGTAAGTCCTTATAATTATTTTTAGTATACAAAAAAATAGTATTCCATTTCTTAAGGTTTTAAAAAAGTCTTCAACCTTCTTAATAAGTAATAGAGTTTTTTAAATGAACTTAAAAGTAATTATTTTGCGGTTATAATACAAATTTTGGTTAAAGTTTCATGTTTTTTTGTTTCTAGTCTTACTAATGTATGTATTAATTAAAAAAAAAATATATTTTTAGGCTTTATCAAGGTCTTTTTTTCTTAGTTACAAAATTATGAATCGTAGCCTGGGATTCCTTTATTTTTCCTAAAATATTAAATTATTCCATGTTGTTTTTTCAATTTTTGTTTGTAAAAAAAGTACTTTATTCAAGTTTATAAAGATTCTTGGAACTTGTAAACAAAAAACCATTTGAAACATAGACACAAAGCCTTAAGATATATATTTTTAAGTCATTCCGTACAACGATTTAAAAATATTCCCAATGGCAAGCCAAAAACTGAATTTAAAATCGAAAAAAAAAATTGTTTACATCGATCTGTTGAAGAGTTTCGAGGGAATTCAAGGTAATCAAAGATCAAAATCATTTTACAATTTTGTGTTTGGATTTTACACGCCACCGGCCATTGTTTAAATAATTTTTTTGTGTGTATTTTGGCCGACTGCTAGTTCAAACTTAAAGTTTCGTGGATTTCAATGGACCGCAAAACCAATCCATCAAATAAAGGAAACGAAAAACCAACAAGTGAACAAAAAAATGTTTAGGTGGGTGGATTGGGGGGGTGTGGAACTGGGGGCATGGGGCAGGAGTGTGGGGTCACATGCTGAGCATTAAAGTAGCTCACAAGAAGCGCAATGTAAACAATTACTCATTCCCACTTTTCCTTTTCAGTATTCCCCTTTCGATTTCCATTAATGTGTGTCAGACTGAAACTGAAAATAGTTCCTATATATTTTTTTCCTGGTGGGTAGGGGGCGTGGCATTTACGCCACATGAAAGGCGTAACACCACTTCAAAAACAAAAACAACAACATAGAATACCAGAAAATGCGGCAACAAAAACATTTCCACGACCATTTAATGACTTTTCCAAGTGCCTCACACCCTCTTTTCCATTTTCCCCTATTTTCCCCTATTTTACCATTTTTTTTTTAAATTTTTATTTATGTTAGTTTTTTTTTCAGTGAGGGATTAATGGCAAGTGCCGATCAAGTTGTTGCTCAATTTCCAAATCCCAGACAGACAAGTGACAAGTTCAAAAATGCACTGCCAAAAAAGGTGTCTGTAAAAATGTTTTGGAATAAAATTATTGAATTTTAAGAACTCTAAAAAATTATAAACTTTTCCATTTAAAATATAGAAAGTTTTACAACTTGGTATACTGCCAAAAAAAACTTGTACTTGTTCGTATACATCTTTTTTCTTTAACGTAGAATTTTTTTTGAATAAAATATAAAATCTAATTTTTTTTCTTTATACATTTTAGCATATATCAACACTTATTTTTTTTAAAGTGTAAGCTGAGAAAATGCCTTTAATATCAATCTCGATTTCCGCGCCCCTTTTTTCCGACTGTTTGCCAGCAAGAGAGGTGGAGACCGGGCCAAGGGCAGCCGGTTAAATAAATTTGTGACGTCACCGCGTCGGCGTCCCCACCAACGCACTAAAAAATGAATGAAAAAATTAAAGAAAAATCCAAAAAACTGCAAATGATTAATGTTTATTTTTTATTTGGACTTTAGACTTAAATCTTAAATGCAATGGAAATATATTTGGGTTTGTCTTTTTTTTTTTTTTGCTTTTTAAATATTTTCTAATTTAATATTAGATAGATCAAGGTTGCTATTTTTTATTTATTTCCAAGGAACAGCATTCTTTATGTACAGATATATATATTTTTCTGCTATTTTATTCCAATTTTCATTCATTCAGAAAATATAACACCCACTCACTTATTTTTTCATTGGCTTTTGTGATTTAATAGTTTATGCAAATCAATAAATTTAAACCTCTCGAGAAAAAAATTAAAAATAGATGCCGAAAAAGGGCAGCTTTAAAGTGTTGAGTGGTCAGTTAATTGGGAGGCCTCACTGTGGGTGATGATGTGGCGATCTCTCGTGATGGATTCACTGTAATTAGCCCATTGTCATGTGGATTGATTGCAATGCCACCCACCCACAATTCGACGCCCACACGCGTGTTTTTCAAGTACAAGTACCTTCCTCTCGTTCTCCCAGACCCTAAGACCGACCTCTCTGTCTCTGGTGGGGACTCCTGTTGAGCGAATTTTAAATATGTGCACTGCGAAAAATACATATATACATTTTTTCGATTTATTAGAAGTTTCACAAAAAGCTATTATTCCAAGAAAAGAAATATATGAATGGATCTAGTCCTCCAAATAACTTCCTTATTAGTTATTATAATTCTCAATTAATTTGGGGGATATCTCCGTGTTCTCCAAATTCTTTTCAATTCTTCATTTTTCGAATTGTTCATTTTTCATCTTGAAAGTTCCTTTGTAGTTGGCTTGAAATAAACCTAAATTTTTTTCCGAGTTCACTTAAACAGCTCTCAACTGCTGATAATTTGTGCAATTTGTTGACACACATTTCAATCTTTTTTTTTTTTTTTTTTCGTGCGCTCTTTTTGATTTTCTCAGTTGCAGTAGATGTTTTAGCATTTTTTTTTTATATTTTTTATACTTGGATACGTGGCTACTGTGTTGTTGCTGGTTTTGATGGCAAATTGCACGCTTTAACAGCACGACATCATCGCGAATGTAAATATATACAAAAAAAAAAAAAATGTATCTTTGTGCAATTGACATGCTTCCATGATCATCCTCCTTTGCATTTGCTTTTCTGCCTTTTGTCCAATGTCCGCTTTACTGTCCAGTGTCCACTGTCCGTTGTCCGCTGCTTTGCTCTTATCATAGAAAACTGGCAAACTGGCAAATGTCAAACTGCAACGGAAATCTGCGTGCCCCCACAAAGACGCATACAAATAAAAAAAAAAAAAAACTATAAAAAAAAATAATAAAAAATAATATAAATCAGACACACGCACAGCGGATGTGTGGAGAGACGATTTCCAAGCGATGACCAGACCAGACAAACCAGCGCGAACATGGAAGCAATCACACATGCAATGGGGGTCACACAAATAGTGCTGGCTAGGGTCAAAAGGTTACTGATAAGGTAGACATTTTTGGAAATAAAATGAATGAATTTAAAGTGAAATGTTTTACAAAATATAAATGGGAAGTAATATTTGAAAAATATACTCTTTCTTCTTAAGTTTCTTAATATTATATCTTAATTATTTTTATTTGAATTTAAAATTCTTAAATTTACATCCCTTTTCCCTATATTCTTGCCTCGAATTGTAGACACAAGTTACTGGGCTCACTATAATCTTATTTTTTCCACCTGTTCCCATAAGCTTCCAAAACAGACCTAGTTGACATTCAAAGGGAGTTGACAATTCAAAGGAACCTTCTCGAAGAAAAAGGATAAAAAAAAACGAGATAAAATCAAAATAAAAAAAAAGACAAAATCTAGTCACAATTTATAAGAAGTTGTATCCTGCAACATTTTAGTGGAAAATGCAATTAAAGTGACTTGATGATGTCATAGAATTGTCTCACATTTTCCGGCGATTTTTCCTCAATGTTATCATTACTATCTTTTTTTTTGGCTTTTGGTTTTCGGTTCTGGTTTTTGTTTCTGTTTGTTTTGCCTGCGAGCCTGTTTTGTCGCCTTGTGTCGCTTTGTGTGTCCACTTTTGTGTGTCACTGTCAACAAATTGCTCTTAATGGCTCGCCGGCGGGTGGGTGGTCATGCCACGCCTCCATTCAACCCATCAACCCAACCGCAAATAAAAAAAAAACAACAAAAAAGCAATAAAAAAAAATAGAAACAAGAACAATTGCAACCCGAAAAGCTAAGCCCAACGATGAAAATCACGGGAGCTGTGGCGTTTCGTACATCGGGGTCGTCTAATTTTTTGTGATTTCCGCAGGCCAGCCAACAATTTGCACTGCATAAAGCATAAAGCATATAGAATATATTATATCGCATATATTCGCATATCAAGCACCAAAATCAAAAAGCAAAAGCAACAGTGTAGCAGCTGAAAAGCAAACCCAAAGGCAAAAGCAAAGCAAAAGTAAGCACAACCTCAGCAGATTCGCAGCCCACTCGGCTAGACGCATAGTAGCCGCAGTTAGAGATGCTAAAAAAAGAAGAAAAAATTAAGAATAAATAATAATACAATAAATAATAATACAATAAATAATTGAGATTATTAAAAAAAAGAAGAGAATTCCACATTAAAAGTAATAAATATAAGACGAAATATAAGGAATAGAATGGTTTTTTAACTTAGAAATAGTTTAACTTAGATTTTATATTCAATATATAGATATTCGAAAATATAATTCTGTTAAAAAAGCATTTTTAGAATAAAAGTCTTTTAAAATCAGTATAGAAATCCAAAAAAATTACAAAAATATTCATTACTTTTTCTCATTCTTGCCCTCCTCCTCGCTTCTCAATATGTGGACTTAACCAACAAATGATAAACAAAAAGGGAATTCGTTAGAATAATAAAAAAAATTTTAATATTATGTTTTAAAAAAGAAATGATACAAATAAAAAGGTTATAAAAACAAATTAGAATAATAGTAGCACCCTTTTCCTCGCTTCTCAAAAAAAGGACTTAATAAATATTCAATTACTGTGGTTTCAATTCAATGGATTACCCTTTAGTTTCTTTAATTTATTTAAAATATTTTATTAAACAAGAAAGAAAAGCTAACTTCGGGCGGAGCCGAAGTTTATATACCCTTGCAGTTAAAACCGGATATATATCGCAAACATCGGATATAGTTGGCCGATCCTTATGGGAATAGGAATATATAATCCAATTTATTTCAATACAAAATCTAAAAAAAGTCCCAAACTTCTATCTTCAAAAATACGAAAGTTGATATTTCTACCAAATATTATACCAT